CCTACGGTGCTGGAGAGTTTTAGACAACTGATATTCCCTCTGGACATGTGTGTATGTGTTCAGCACAAGTTTCGTGCTACTGCGTTTTTCATTTTTGTAAATACAGACTTTCAAACTTTCAAACGCGTTTTTCTCATTTCGCAATTTTGGCCAATTTGCATTTTTTGCGGGAAGTGTTTCGGGCACTTAGAATGGTCATACGACGACGAAATTTGGCACACACATTGAGGAGAGTGCGTAGGGTGCCGATATCTACTTGAATCAGCACAACCTATCAGCTGTAAATATCTATTAATAAATTTAATGGTGGTCGAGTGGAAAAAAAAGGGTAGTTTGCTACACAGATGTTTTTTTCATAGTTTCAAAGTTGGAGCACAATTTCTAGCTAGATATCGGCACTCTATGGCTAATAGGGAGCAAAAGGAGCCATTGAACAACTCTCTGCATGAACATTTAGTATGCGCGAAAGTTCCCGGAAAACTTATCAAGTTTCACCATTACTTGAAACACAACTCCCAAACTATTGCACTTATGTAAAAACTGATTACAGATTTGGAATCAGGAGGAAAAACTGCATCAGTGGTCCAATTTCTGAAGCTCTAAGTTGAATAACAAAAAAAAAGTGCTTTCGAGGAGCGTCTCCCCTTAACCAGTCTCAAGTGAAGCCAAGTCGATATTTGATGCCCATGGCGGTGCTGAATTTGAGCTTCACTTTTGTTCCAAATGGCTCTTTTTTTCGTTTTCGAACCTCGCCAGCGGCCCGAAAGTCGCCGAATTATCCGATTTGCGGTCAAAACTGTCCGAAATAACGAGTGCCCAGTATCATAGAGTGAAGCGTATATTTACAGGGACCAGATGACGCGTCCGAATTATCTGAATTTCCAAATTAACGAGAGTCAAATTAACGAGCTTTTACTGTACCTTTATTGTCCCAGTGGGTAAAATATCTTCTCAATGTGCATGCACAGGTGTGCGCACACACACACACACACACACACACACACACTTTTATGAGTAACCAAGTCAGCCTGTATATCATCAGCTGCTAGCCTCATCAAGTAAAATTTTATGAAGAGGCCAGTCTCATCACAGTGAAAGATGCCAGGAGAATACTGACACAGCATTGTACACAGCTTTGTCAGCGCAGTAGTCAAAGCAAAGGTTTGGTCAAAAGCACTTTTTTTTTCACGCCTTATTTGAATGACAGGTTGTACCATTCTTGAAATTCGGCAGCTAGCCATTGCTGAATTTAAAGTTGGCAACCTTCAAGTGCAGGGCCAGAGATTCCACCTTTTCTCTGAGCAGATTGCCAGAGGAGAACAACCTCGAAGCCACATTGGCAGTTAGCCAGACACTCAGACTTTCTACTCCCTCACAGATGTTTCACCTGCCTCCAGGATCTTCTCTTTTTGTTTCAAGTATTCAGAGGCAGCTTGCTTGGAAACTGAGAGCTCTTGAAGGCCAACTCTGAGGATTTTTTACCATATCAGGTAATCGTGCTTTTATGTTTCTGAGACACTCTTGTCCCATGCCCGATAGCTGAAATGCTCAGTCCATTTGAAAATAACTTTTAGTAAACAGAAAGGCGCAATAACGAAACCAAAACCCAAATGAGTGAACTGTCCACATATGACGTACCGCTTTGCAAGAACCAGAAATTCTGCAAGGCATGCCGGTCTCGCCAGTGTGGAGTACAAAAACTGCGGAAGCTGCAAATAGCAGACACTCAATAGATAGATGACTATGCCTGGAACTAATCATGCCACAGGCACAAGCTTCTCAGAGTTGTTGGACAATGACAGTTGAGATTTGTATGCATTTAGAGATCAACGAGCATCACCGTTCCTCTTCGATGAAGCCGAGCAGATTTTAATATCTGCTTGCCTAGTTGTGCATTGCACTGCCAGATGGCATTACTTGTCCAGGCCAGCTAAGTTTGTGGCTGCGCCAATGGGCTAAAATGCCAAGTTTCTTGTCCAATTAAAACTTTTTGAGATTGTCATGGAAAAAGGGCAAAAGTTTGTGGTGTGCAGTAAGACTTCAATAAGATCAATTATTAATATCAGCCAAGTAAGTACCTTTCTCACGATGTGCGGCTGACTGTACAGACGGTTGCAGTCACAGTGAACCTGGTATTTGTTCAGGACACAAGCGAACCGATGCTGACTACTTATCTCATGCCCCAGTCGAGTCGACTCCTTCAGACCAAACTGTCGAGGAAAATTTCCTCATGGTCATCACAGTTTTCGACTTGGCTCAAAAACAGCGTGATGACCTAGAACTTCGCTCACTCATCAACTATCTCGAAGACCAGCTTGAACATTCAAGCACATGATTTCATACATCCTGTACAAGCAGAGCTTTGATCCCAGCACTTGAACCGCGCTACTGGTACAGTTAAACCTGAATATAATGAAATAGATTAATTCCCGGAAAAATTCGTTATAAAAAGGATTTCGTTATATGCAGGTTCAGTACAAAATCTCTTAAAATAAACGTGCAAATTAAACAAAAGCAGGATTGAAGGCAGAGCTAACCCAAAACACTTATCAAATCAAAAAGCAGAAATCAAATGAGGCGGCCCATCCCTATAGCTTGGAAAGTACATAGATAACATCTCCCGTGTGTTAAAACTGCCATCGAATGCTCAAACAGAAAGTAAACCACCCATCTTGGAACGATCATGAAACAATGCAGAAGGAGGGGGGGAATCGCTGGAGTAGCATGATGAAGTTGAATTTTAGGGGCGGTCGCGATCGCTGGAAGGCTTGTTATCTCTGTGATTATAAGCGCGGTTTCAATGCGAAGGAACTGTGTGAAAAGAGCACTTCTCGAGAACCTTGAGCGGCCGTATTTGCTCACACTACCATTTTGTAGGAGTTCTGCGATATCAGATCCAAAAAAGTTGGCTGCCAGCCTTACTTTTATAACATTACAATTTTTTGCTATCATTGCATTGCATTCAACGCGCCGTCATGTTGCTGGAATTAATCGGCTAATCGCGAAAGCTACCAGCCTGCGAACTCGCGGCGCAATACAGAACCGGGTGACGAATCAACCTCCGAGGAGCCATCGTCACCGTGGTCTCGCAGAATTTCCATCAGCGTCTAATCTAACATCCCCTCAGTGGCGAAGACATGGTTGTCCAAAATTAAGAAAAGTCACAGTTTCGTCGCAAGGGCAAAGGCATGCGATAGCGCAACAACTTGGAATTAACGCTGAGAACGGCAAGCAGATCGAAACGGGCAGCCCGCTGCTCCCGCATAAATTACACAAGAAAAAACATACACAGGACGAGAGCAAACTAACAATGTTTACCGTTCGACACTTAACGCGCTGTTTAAACAAAAACGAGGCATGAAACCTAATCACAGCTACAGATATAAAGGCGAACCAACAATGTACCCCAGTTGTTACTTTGCTGTGTTTGAAAAGCGCACTCTTTTTGCAAACAGCGCCTGTCCTGCAAGCAAAGTGATCTTTTTGAGCCTAATATCTAAACACAATCATTCCGGTCAAAGTCAAAGACGCGCGATTCTCTTTACCGAAGGATAAGCGCGCACGCACAAGCATCTAACCCCTCCCCCCATCCGTGAGGCAAGGTACGCATGGGAGATGAGCGCATGTCGGTACACCGTGGCGAATTGGGCGCCATAGCAGGTGGCTCTTTTTTTTTATTCTTTTCTTGAGTTTTCGTTTATACAGATACGTATACGGTGAACGGCAATGGCGGCAGCGGCAAAAAACCAGCTGAGACTGTCCATATAATTGATCGCAGTAAAAAAAAAGCAAAGCTGAACGTCGTCAGGGGCCGCACCATATGCGCACAGTGAAATTATTCACGCGCGCACGGTATCGAAAACGAAGAGCGAATGACACGGACACTGCGGAAAACTATTCGACAAAGCGCTCTCCATGTGCAACGCAGCCCCACACATGTAACGCTAACTAAAAGCGTGGCACTGTCAACGCGCAAAAGTAGTTTTTTTTGTTGTTTAGAAGGGAGGGGCACACACCCTCGCACGCCCCCTCGTGGTGTGTAGGCCCGCCTCATGCTCACCTACCCGCGCCCAATAACGAGCGCTCACTCTCGCCTTGTGCACCGTGCGCTCACTCTCGCCTGGTGCACCATGCGCGTCGCCGCTGCTTCGCACTTTGGTGGCAGCGGGGCAGTCGCGGAAGATGCATGTTCGTGCCAAAATGCGGAGTAAAATTCCTGGATTGTTCGTGGAGAAAATTCGTTATATCAAGGTTGTCTCCCAGTGTTACTTCGTTACGTAGAGGTCGCAAATACATGTGCTTCTACGGAGCAATGGCGGGGAATTAAAAAAACTTCGTTATATCGAGGAACTCGTTATATGGAGGTCCGTTATAAGCAGGTTTAACTGTAGTACTATCTGCGATGCGAGAAGAACTCCTCAATGCGTGTCATGACGAACAGTCTTCAGAGCATTTAGGATCCAAGCGTAGTCTAACTCGTATCCGCCACAAGTACTACTGGCCTAAACTTTACACTCTATGGAGTCACTCGGACTACCGTTTCAACAAGTTCGCATGAAACTGCAAAGCAGGCACCGTGTACTTTTGAACAGAAGCAAACGAAAATTGCACCTGCTTCTGCTTGGCTTGCAAAAAACAATGAAATGTATCCCAAAACACCACACTACAAGGCCAATGAGACTTGCTAGTGAAAAATGAATGGTAGCGCTTATGAATGTGCTCTTGAATTGTTCAGTTCTGAATGTCTGTGTCGTCAGGAGGCAAACCACTTCCTTTTGTCCTGATCGCGGGCAATGCAATTGTATTGTCAAGAAAATGATATAAATAAAAATAAATAAATGCTTTAAGTAGAAAGTGCACTGAGTAGGAGGTATTAAAGGTGAATACAAATAACTGAAAGCTATCATACAATTCATATTTGACATGCTGAACAGTCCAACACCCCTAAAAGAATTTTTTCTTACGGTGCACTTTCAAGCAAACGAGAAACCTGCCCTCACCAGAAGAGATAGTGTGTGGTCTTTGGCACCGCAGGACTGAATTCATGGCCCGCTCGAATTGCAGGCTGTCCTGCAAATTAGGCCATGTGGAAGTCACCGAGGGCGTTGTAGGAAATGGTGACGAAGGACTACTTGAAGCACAGCCTGGCAGTGATGATGCCCCCGTGTCCCCTCCAGAAACCTGCACCTCCATCCATAACAGCCACTGTCAAGGCACACTTATCACTCCAGACTTTAGCTGCACAGTATAAAGAGCATTACGCAGCAATGTGACATTTGCAAAAGTGGGGTCACTAGTAACAACGATGATAGCCTACCTGAGGCAAACAGACACAAGCAATCTTGGTTGCACGCAGTGGCAAGCTGTGAGTTGTATATCAGCAGCTTAATGTCACAGTTACAAGTACTGCTCAATTAACTAACGCCACAGTGTGAGTATGCAAGGCAAGTCTATTGAAAAATACAGATATCAAAGACTTTAATGTAAAAATTTGACAGAAGGGTGTCTGGTTGGGTATGAAACTAGGAGATGATATAGACTCCAACGAAAAGTTTTGAAGAAACCCGACGTTTCAGAACCGACTCGGTTCCTTCCTCAGGGGTGACTGCGTAGGCTACGTAGCAGCAGAGTATTCAAAGCACTCGAGGGGTGGCTAATGACCCCTCTCTCTCTCTCGTTTTGCCGTGGAGCACAGTCCGTGTGTGTACACTGGGGGAAGGGTTCCGAGAAAGAGGTTGATGTTATGGGCCGTTCTCTGTATGTGCCACGACTCGAGTCGTCATTAGCCAACCCTCGAGTGCTTTGAAGACGCAGCTGCTACGTAGCCTACGCAGTCACCCCTGAGGAAGGAACCGAGTCGGTTCCGAAACGTCGGGTTTCTTCAAAACTTTTGGTTGGAGTCTATATCATCTCCGAGATATCAAAGAACAGATTCTGGTATAGTAGGCACATTAGCCTAAAGGGCTATTTGCACAAACATACATCCAGTAATATGTATATACAGTGTAAGTTACGCATATATTTTTCTGAGTATATTTTAGTTGCACCATCTGTCGCAAGTGTCAGCTGTAAGAAAAAATGAGCTGTGCAGCAAAATGGTAATACAGTCGATCCCAAATTTATCGAACTCAAAAGGGATCGCAAAATACAGTAAAACCTCATAAATTCGAAGTTATTGGAACTGTGGAACATCTTTAAATCATGAGGGTTTTCGAATTAACAAAAGATACACAAAGTGGGATGCAAGGAACTTTGAATTACTGAAAGTAATCAAAGGCAGTCGTTTGCATGCCGGGGTAGTTTGCAGCTACAAGGACTAAGTTCTACCGCAATACCTGGGCCCAATTTTGCCGCAAACACATTGAACACTGGGCACCGCTGCTGCCAGCGAAAGCAAAAAAAAAAAAAGAAGTCATGGTTTAAAAACATGCACCTGCAGAAAGATGACGTGCTTTATTGCAACACAATGATTGCACGCGGGCGGCATGTCACCTGCTTTTTGCAGCATCAGGATGTTACGATGCGATCATTTGCCCATTCTTTCTGGTAAGGAGGAGGAGGAATAAACGTTTATTTTCGAAACGGTGTAGCGGTGTAGGTTCCGCGTTCACCTTAGGTGGGAGGTCTCCTCATTCCAGGAACCCTCTGGCCTTCGCTGCCTCCTTGGCCCTGGCGACGAGACGCCGTTGTTGGTCCAGGTCCTCCAAGGCAAGCTTGGCCTCCCACGTTTCGAGAAGGTGTTCGTTTTCTTTACCAATGTCACAGTGTCACAGGTTATGGCCAGTGTAAGGGAATTACTAATGTGTTTTGGCTGGAAAACATGACCATTGAAGTTTTTGAACACGTTTTTCGAAGTGGGCATTGCAGACAGGAACTTCACCAGCAGTGCAAGTGCGCAAATTGCTGGAGTAACTGCCGATCAAAAGTTAGCATACATCACGAATTGCCTCAGACTGACCTTTATTATTTCGTTATATTTCCAGAAAGAATGGGTAAATCATAATGTGCTGATGTTTCGAGAAGCATGTGACGTGCTGCGCGCGTGTCGCCACTATGGTGCAGTAAAGCACATTTTTTTTTTTTTTTTTCCCGCAGGTGCACATTCAAATCGATCACAAAGCCGCCGCCCCCCCCCCCTTTTTTTGTGCTGGTAGAAGCGTGGCTGGGGTGCTTCATCTGCCACACATTAGTATCGCTACACAGCATTGCCTTGTGGCTCCTAAGGACCACAGTTGCTGCTCCCACGACCAGCGACTGCATTTTGCGGGGGCGGTACACGGCTATTGCATTGCACGGCTATTGCTCTGCCGTGTTTGCGATGAAACCCACGATTTCCCTAGGTGTTGGCCGTGAAGTCCCCAGCCCGCTAGCCGTGCTTCCGGTACTGCCTTCCGGCACGCAGCCACACTGGCACTGGCCTGAGACCTTGCCGTCACCGCCTCGGACTTTGTTCATTGTACGATCGGCGTAACGGGGTGGCGGTTCGCATTTGCTTTAGGCACTGCGTCGTGCTCCCAACAGTCTGCAGAAATTAGGCGCATTCTTTTTCTTCTAACCACCACCATCAGTTGGTTTTGTGTGGTTGCGACGATGTCACGTCGGCAGAGCTACACAGGTGACTTCAAGTGCCAAGTTATACTTTTTACCGAGGACTACGCAAATCTGCTGTGCAGCGCGAGTTCTGTTTAAATGAGAAATAGATTAGGGGTTGGTGAAAGCAGCGGGACCGTCTGTTTGCATGCAAATGTCGGTGTCGTGCCTTTTGCGGCCCACCAATCGGCAGAGGTGGTAGCAAGGAGGACATCGTTTGGGAAGTCGCGGATGCTTGCGAAAAATCCGATGACATCATCTTGCACATCTGACAAGATGACGGCCCCGGAAGCGATTAGGGCGCTAAGTTATGTAAATCAAGGTGTGCTACGTTTCAATTTCTGTTTGGTCAACCATTGGTTGACCTATATTCAATTTTTTTTCTTCCTGTTGTAGAACACTATAAGTAGGGGTTGACCAATACTCGTGCCCTACCTATTTTCGAGTAAATACAGTACTTTCATACTTAATTTTCTTCAGGACGCTAAGTTATGTCAATAAAAATGTGCTATGTTTCCATTTCTCTGTTTCTAAACTAAAAAAAAAAAACATTGGTCGACCTACATTCGATTTTTTTTTCTCTTTTGTGGAACACTATAGGTAGGGGTTGACCTATTTTCATGCCTGACATTTTCAGGTAAATACGGTACTTTCATACTAAATTTTCTTCATAATAATTTTCTTTGCAGGCATCAGAAGTCATATATATATATATATATATATATATATATATATATATATATATATATATATATATATATATATATATATATATATCATGATTTCATATCATAAATGAACATCAAAGCTGTTAGTGCATCCTGTGACTTTATTCATAAAAGGCTTATACCCGTGCCACACGGGCAGAAAAAATGGCATTTACCCCCGAATGCCTTCAGATTTATTGCCATTCGCGCGGTGCCACACGGGCGAACAAAATGGCATTCATCCGAATGCCATTCGAATGCCATTCGCTACCAACTGCCTTCGCCACAACTCAGTTGACTGAGAAATGCCTACTCTCGACGACACAGCTCGCAAAGTGCGATTTACCTGAGAGTATATAAAACAAATCATATTGAGCTAAAATGAAATTTCCCGTCTTTTATTTGCACTAAAGTCTTAAAAAGATGCTTTGAACGTTATACGAAGAAAATAAAGTATTGATAATGAAACGCATGTCAATTTTAGTGTATATTTACGCTGTGGATCTGACTAGTGTTGGCTTAAATTGCTACGGTCGGCTGCAACGTTGTAAAACAAAGCAAGAAACTAAATATTAGGACAGCGTAATACGCTTATTTCTACATTTGATGATTATATGATGTGTATGAAACTTGTAAATGTTTCTTAATTTTTTTTATTGCTATTCACTCAGTGCTCACTTGGAAGGTGCTGTGATCGACATCATCAAGTCAAATGTCATTCGCCTTGGACGTGTAGCAGCGCCGGCGAAACGAATGTCATTCGGGAACTGAAGGCCTTCGCCACCAAATGTCATTTTCTATGCCCGTGTGGCACGGGTATTAAAATGAAAATAAAGCTTTCCAGCCCACCTGGGCAGCTATACTGGTCCCTCGAGGGGATGGAGGCCTCAAAAACAAGGTATCCTGTGAAGTGAAGCCAGAATCTTGCGAAGACACACTTGACAGCCGCAGTGGTCCTCCTACAGGTGGCTGCTGCATGATAGTCAATATAAAAAACAATGAACATCAAAGGAAAGCAAAACTGAAAAAAAAAAAAACAAGGATTTTCGAAAGTAATCTTTCTATAATAAATAATTCTGAAAGTTGTCCATATCGAGTTACTTAATTTGCCCTAAAGCATTGTATTACCAGCCTCACCATTCACTCAGGTCTAGTTTGGTAGCCTTAAATAAGTATTAGGAAGACTTATTAAAGTAGGCTGACACTTATGCAGTTGTTTACATAAGTTTCAGTATGGCGAAGCCTGTGTTCAAATCAAGAATACAAGCAATGAAAACTGACACCACTAGGTTACTGCAATACAGCTTTTTATATAGAGTATGACAAAGCTAAATGACTTCTCTGTTCACTAAAAGCATCTTCCTCGTAAGTAAAGTAGCTTGAAATGCAGCTATGATAATTAAGTTGCAACTCCACAAAGCATGCGTCAGTCGCTACCCATTTAATTGGTGCTTTATGCACTGATGATCCATACAGTTTAACATTTAGTAAATTTTTTCGGCAGGAAAAAGCGTGTCTACGAGCAGATTTGGTGCAGGTTTAGAGCAGACAAAATGGAATTGAGGATAATTTAGAGTCAGAAATGTCTAAATTATCTGTGAATATTCCAATTAGTGAGCATAGTTCAAATGCTGCTGCACTGTAAACCGGTACACAAGGCCAACATCCACAGAACAGCCATTACAATTGAACTACGATTATACGTCCCCCCAGTTTCGCGACAACCCACACTTTACGACGAATCTGTTTTGACCCAGCAAAATCCCCATAGAAGTAATGAATAAAAACCTTTGGTTATATGACACAGTTTCCCGCCAACCCCGCATTTTACAATGACTTTCAGAATCCACCCAAAAAAGAAAAAAAAACACCTTTACTCAAATCAACCTTCGTCCAAATATACATGAGCGTAAAATATGAACGTCCGTTCCCCCTAGATTGACGATTAGACAAGTAGAGAGACAGGACATTTTCTTAGAATGCAAAATTCCTTCTCCTTGAAGTTCAGGCGCTTCTACATACACATGTGTACGTATCCGGGGTCATTACCTAGTCAAGCTCTATTCAAAGTAGCTCCAGCCGGCCGAATAGCTGATATTTTCACGTTTTCAGTCCGTGGAAACATTTCCTGGTCGACCTACAGCTGATCTCCTTCCTTTATTGTACTCGCAGTCACAAGCTTGACAATGCATAAGGGCGTGACTCGACTGTTTTCGCCTTGCAAAATTGCTTTCACTTGACGTCAACATTCATAATAACAGCGGGACATCACTACTTGCACTTCACAAGTCAAGAAATTACAACGTGCACAGCTCAGCCGGAGGAATTCCACCAAAACTTGTAGTTCGTCGCCATGTGATAGCGATGACACTGCGCCTGACCCTGCTGAAGGGAGCCTGTTGGCAATGCCGTTTCAATTTCGTTATCATGCACAGGCAATTTTTGGACTGTTTATCAGTAGAAAGATGCGCATTGGATTCGATTCTTTTAGAGTTGAGAATAAAGACTCCCTCGCACCTGCTCTAAGTAATGCTGCCATTAGCCGCCACGGGCAAGAATAATTTGACCTACCTTCCTTGCTGAGGCACAAGGTCATGCTGTGGGCTTATTCAGGCAATCGGTACCAGTTTTTCGGGCGAGGCTGAGTGTCACTGCCTATAATCTTAGTTTTTAGATTATACGATGCCCGGATTATACGAGAGTCTTGTGTGCTCCCCTGAAAGTCATCATCGGGGTTCCACTGTAACCGGGCCCTTAACATGAGAGTTTCATGTTATGGCTTCACTACACTGCAAAGACGGGCGTGGTGCACACCTGTGAAGCGCTAGTGACAAGCCCAGAAAGGCACATACGGATTCTGCAATTGACAAATGTCATGAGGGCATTAAAAAAAAATAATAACCTATCCAGAAGACCAGCAGTATGACAGTTAAAGAAAGAAGAAAATTTGTTGCAAATGAGAACATACCATTTAAAATGCATTCAATAATCGCATAATTGACTATGGTGATGCTCCATCATACTAGATAACAGTTATGAGAAGTGAGCACCGAGTGACATTCTCCTCTCAATTTCAACAACTTGGGGCTCATCACTTACTTTCAGTTTTCCAATTAGAAAAAGCCTTCTAAGAAATAAATCTGGTACAATGTGAACTGGTATCAAGGGGCAGGGTCAGTGATCAATCCAAGCATTAAGCGAGAAGGGATGCATTTCTTCACGGCAGCCTTGAAGGAAAACAGTCCGCCTATCGAAACGTTCGCTTCAGCGATGGCACATGTTCAAAAATTTGTGAAGGTGCAATTTCTGGGTACGAGTCCCTGTGTTATTAAAAGGATGGGGGATAATTGTGGTGTCCCGCGAACAGGCCAGATAACAGAGAACAACCAACTACTAGTTAGGTGAAAAGAGCCGCACTGGGCATGCACACAAGCGTAGTTCTCAACAAGTCAGAGGGAATCAGTTGGGAAGATTTGCAAACTCAGGAGACTGACCTTTTGCCGCTTGGCAGCAGTGGCTAACTTACAGCAAGCAGGGTGTCTCGCAAACGATACAAATATTAACTTTGCCAAAAATAAGAGAAACTATCGAAAGACGTGACCTGCGGGTCAGCAGCCGAGTACCTTAACCACTAGACCACCGCGGCGAGGCATGTTAAACTTTCAACAACAGAGACACACGTGGTGGAGCCGAGAGATCACTTAAACTGATTATAATGACAAAAAGTGCATGACTGGAATGGAGTTAGTAGAGGGCATTAAATACTATTTCACCAGCTTACAAATATAATTGACATGCCTGCAATGCTTTCACAAGTCTCTTGTGCCATAAACAGTGGTGATTCAACTGCACCAATTGTGCCATTTTGCTACTATTCCGTTCGCTGCACCTTGCTGCACTCATTCGAGTACAGCTTGTGCCAACTGCACCAAGTTCACCATTCCATCCGCTTGCATGGCATCAGGCTGTTCATGGTGTAAAAACACCATATTTTTTCACATATAACTCCCACCCCTTACATTGAACTCCCCGAAAAAAGAAAAAGGTACTCGCGCACACATAGCTTAGGAAAACTGTTTTGGAAAGTCACAATTTCACAGTCACAGTGTCGTTTACAAAAGAACTTTATTTTTACAAAAGAACTTTATTCTGGCGCACCAAAAATACGTGTTTGACCACAAATCGCTGGAGCCATTCACGGCTCGCACGAAACTCGCGTGAGATGTTCATCTCACGAACCAAGCTCAACGCTTCCATTTGTGCCATATTTGTTGACGCAACGTGGTCGCGACTCCTCTGCTCCACAAAAAATTTGACAAGCTGCGTCTCAAGAAGGGGGTCTTCGGGCTGCGAAATGCGCGGTTCTCCTTGCCTGCATTTTTGAGAGAGGCCCTTTTTTTTTTTTTTTTTGCCTGTCGCAGATGCAAGACTCATCGACGTACCTCCTCGCAGCAGCTCTGTTAATAACTTCTTCTGCAGCAGCTATAATCTCAAGTTTTTCTTTCGCAATAAAGAGTGCCGCTGAGACCCACTCATGGTGCCTCAACAGACAAGGGTGACTAACGGTGCAAACTGGCCACACCTGACTCAGAGACAGACACTGTCAAACCGCTGTTCTAACGCTGCTGAACAAATCAAACAAAGCATGCAAAAAGTGAATAAACACACTACCGAGGGGATCTGTATATGGCCTGTGTTGGCTTTTATTGGCTTTAGACCAGATGATGCTGATGGCGATACGAACTGCACGGCAGGCCTTGCATTGCCGATCTCTGCTTCCGGATTATTTGCAGATAACCAGCAACCCCCGTTTTCAGCCAATTTTTTTTTTTATTTCAATTTTTGGTGCAGGTTATATGTGAGAAAATATGGTGTTCTCGATCTACTGCTGAAACTTTTCGACACTGCTAGAGCTTTTCGATGTCACTGATGCCTTCTATTCACTCCATTCCACCAATGCACTTTTTGGCATTATATTCAGCATAACCAATGTCTCGGCACCACCATGTGTGTCTCCATTGTTGGAAGTTCAACATGCCTTTGATAGTTTCTCTTATTTGTTATCGAAATGATTTTTTTCGTTCGAGAGTCAATCTGCTTGCTGTAAGGTAACCACTGCTTCCAAGCGGCAACAGTTATTTGCACTGCGAGCTGTAAACGGCGTCTTCATGTGAATAAAGATTCAGCAGGGCAAAAGTTTGATGTTTCTCAAGAAAAGTAGATGCCTCTTAATCGCACTGTGTGACAATCTTCGGTATGCTATTGTATGCTACTGTCTACTGTATAGTTGCTACTGCACTTGGATAAAAAAAAAAACTGAATAAATGCCTACCTGTGAGGCTGTTCGACACCGAAGCTGATGCGAAGGAGAATGGGACTTTGTGCTACCGCTGGAGGAGCTGTTGAAGCTGCTGATGCTGCACATGCTGGATTTGCGTGAACCCAAGGAACTGCTTGTGCTGCCACCAGTATGAACAGGAGAGCCTGGAGGTGTCTGCAACCAATTATTACCATTATTTGTCATCACTGTATACAACTCCAGCCACCCCCAACTTGTCAAGGTTATCTACAAAATACATCAACTGCACTTAATTACTATTATACGCTTGTAAAAGAAAGAGCATAACTGTATGGAATACACATCTAATCTCTTCTCTAAGTAAATTATTATGCAGCACTAGACATTTACTGGGTGCAGCTAATTACTATGTTGTGCCCCATTTACGGTGTTGTAAGTTATTCGAGCACATTATATTTAAGGCTATCATTACTTACTTAGAAAATAATAAATTAATCTATGTGCATCAGCATGGATTTAGATCTGGTTTATCTACGGTCACCCAACTAGCTTAAATATCTCAAGAGTTAACCAGTACGCTCAATTTGAAAGGCCAGACCGATGCCATATTTTTGGACTTCTCCAAGGCATTTGACGTTGTTCCTCATCAGTATCTAGTAACGAAATTACTCGCTACAGGAATAGAACGGAAGGTTGTAACATGGATCGAATGCTATTTGAAACATAGAAGACAGTGTGTCACCATAAACGGGTGTGTCTCAAGTGAGTTGGAGGTGTACTCCAGTGTTCCGCAAGGCTCAGTCCTTGGGCCTCTTCTTTTTTTAGTTGAGATAAATGACATTCATCTCTGTGTGGAGCCACAGATCCAGATTAGGCTATTTGCGGATGACTGCACAATATACGCAGCCATAAATATTTGCTCTATTTTCTGCCGCGATTACTTGTTGGAATAACTTGTCCGAGGAAGTTGTAAACTCTGGGTCGTTGGCTTCATTTACAGAATTACATTTACAGCACCTCCATCAGTGTCGCGGTAGATTGCGAATAAAACACAGATACACCTTGGGACGACGAAAGCAGCGTGTCCTCAACAGCTGAGTCACAAGATCGTCTTTTTCAGCCTCGATGGAAGCTAGAGGCCCACTACCTCGTGCCCACTAAATGCCCCATCATCGTTATCGTCCACATGTAGACACGCGTCAATATTGTAAATAATACTTTTTCTAGATGCATGTGGCCTGTATGTATGTGTATATATGTGCACATATATAAGTATAAATGTGTAGGTATGTACACACTGCTGAGTGCTATGTCTTTCAACTTGTTCATTCGCTATGTATTATTTTTTCAGCTGTGTCAAGATATGCTGTGCATTCATATTTGTTTTCTGTTTATATTTTTTGTATTCACTTCTGCATGGGCCCGTGAAGGGCCTGAAGTATCTGTAAATAAAAAAAATTACTGCATGCCATTGCATAACATACTTCCATTAATTTGACTCCAGTAAATTCAATCTTGGCTAAAGGTCCCAGCCGTCACCACATTTTTTTTATCCTGAAAATAATCTTGGCCACATAACTTGTCATGATGTTAACTAGAGACTAAAAAACATGGCCAAGGGCTTTGGATGACCCCCCCCCCCCCCCTCCATGTCTTTACGCTCACTCAACTACTTCTTCCGGTCTTTAGCAATTCTTGAACAGCCAGGCGAAACAGGAATAATTTAGGATTGAAAGCCTTACATTAAAGCGTATACAAGATTATGTATACATACGACAACCACTAACAGGGCAGCTTAATCACGAAAAAAAATTCACCAAAGAATAACAATGGGCTAGAGCACATCCGGCAGGCCCTCCCAAAATATAAGACAGGAAATTTACTTTTGTCATTAAAGCAAAAAGTATACAACCAACCATATACGGCTGAACCACAGAGAGTAACAAAACTAGAGAAAAGTTGAAGACCACGCACCGTGCAATGGAACTTAAAATGATAAGAATAACTTCACGAGATCGGAGCAGTGGGGTGGGTCAGGGATTAAATGGGTGTTGCAGGTATCCTAGTTGACATAAAGTGAAATAAATTAACCTTGGCTGGCCAAATAATGCATAGAACCCAACCAGTGGACAGTTAGAGCAACAGAATGGTTCCCAAGAGATAGAAAATGCAGTTGGAAAAGGCAGCGAGTTGGAAATGAACTGAACAGAACTAGCGAGAGCAACAACCTGGCATCAGAACTACTGAGTGCAACAACCTGGCAAGTGCTTGGCAAGATACGATGCAGGGACCATAAAATGGTAAGGTCTAGGATTCGCCTAGACTTGAAGAAGGAATGAGAGAAACTGATACACAAGAAGTGAATCAATTCGCTAGCACTGAGAGGGAAAGTACAAGAATTCAGAACAGATACTCGGTTCTTATCGAGAAAACCGGCCTTAGCGTTGACGCAGTGCATGATAATCTGACGAGTATCATTACAAAATGTGCAGTGGAAGTTGGAATTACGGTAGTTGCACAAAATTAAGAAGTTCATTGAGATAAAATGGAATCGGCTTGCACAGGATATGGTAAACTGGAGATTATAGATAAAGTCCTTTATCCTACAATTAACTAAACAGGCTGAGAATAATGAGATAATTTGAACTCGGCTGGCCAACTTACGTGCATCCGACCAAAAAGGTGACAGAAGTAATGGTTCTAAAAGCAACAGTATCCTGCTTTGCAGGCTCTCAGGAAGAAACTGATGATTCTAACAAACATCTCTCATCAATATCCACTACATATTCTGCCTGCCCAAGAAAATTTTTAAGGTGAATATAGTAGCTCACAAACAATAGAGAATTTATACAATTCTAATTTGCACTGCTAAAAAAAGTTTATCAAAAAAACTTGTTCAGCAATGCAATCTGACATGAAATCAAAACTGCACATGAAATGATGTAGTTCGAACCAGCCTGGCCAGCATTATTGCCACTGCTATCACAAGATGGCAACCATCACTGATCCCAAGATTGCACAGCATAACAACGACATGGCCCTTTCATTCCAACAGTAAGTGCACTCCTAGCTGCGCCTCTGCAAGCAGGCTTTCCTACATCAATATGAGCCTAAAACTGCAGACACCACCTATGCAGTATAGTCATAAAAACCAAAAAACTAGAGCACGAGTAAGAGAAAGCAGTAAAATGACACCAATTTTGAAACAAGTATGTATAACTATATTACAGCGAATTACCTTAGATTACACTTTACTGCTTTATTGCCCTACATTCTGCCATTGCACTCTTTTTTCTTGCCATAAAATACATGATAATCTTACCTGGAAGGTCCAAGTGCCTTGAGATGCCTTTAGGTCTGTGATGACCTGTTCACTGGCTGAGGGAAGGCATTCGGGATTTCGAGTAAGTTTTGCCAAGGAGTCCAAAATCTCCTGTAAATGGGATGTTTCCTGCAACATCAACAGCTCTTCTTCCTGCAGGCAAGTCATTGAACATGAATTAAAAAAAGAAGGTACTACCAGAATAATTGACAAGTGGCAGATGCCAACTTAAACAAGCAAAAATCCTGGCACAATTTCCATGTGAATATATAAACATGTACTTTTAACCTCATTATGACAAATGTGTTAATCCCAAATTTCCATATAACAAATTTCCAATGAGGCCACAATCGAAGACCAGCGCAATAATTTGGAACTACAGTGAATGTCAGCAGTTAAATGAATGAATTACATGAAGTTGTTTAAGAACACGTTTCAAGCTCCACACTGTGCAAGAGAGAGCAGCTGTTAAGCGGGGCAGTGTCTTCGGTAGCAGCAAAGTTAGCTGGCCAAGTCTTCCAACAAGCACTCTTCGACGTCTGATGCTACAAGCTGGCAAGTGAGGGGTGCTCAGAGGCACCAGAGGGCACATTGGGCATTCTGTCAGAATATAGAAGAATAATGTCACGGGGGTGAGAGTATGAATGAAATAAATGTACAGTCGAGCCCACTTATAACGAATCTGAGCGTGACGCGGCATCCGTTTGCTGTATCCTGAAGTTCGTAGTAAATGAAACACAGCTTTTAAAAAAAATTGCGAGTGAAAATACAAACTTTTCTTGCCCCAAAAAGTGCGTGATGCACTTGTTTCAAAGAGCAGAAGCGATAAGGGCAGTCTAGAGTTCATTTAAAATGGCAGGGTGCTCGTTCGCCGAGGCCCATGGCATAAGCTGCATGAGGCATTGGCACCAAAGTTATTCACCATCTCCACAGCCCACCAATTATTCACCATCTCCACAGCTGAATACAGGGACGCCAGAAGCGGCAAGTTAGCTGCCAGGTGGTAAACAGCTATGAGCAAGTGCTCCGCAACGCGGCACCTAACACGCGGATTACGCTCGGTCAAGCCAAGCGGTCACACTTTGAATGTTTTGTTGAGCGGCATAAAAAAGCGCGCTAATCCTCCCGTCTGCCATCATGACCCCACGCGCACGCCAAGAACGAGTAAGACGCGCACATGCGACACACATGCCAGAACGCGTGGAACAGCTATGAGGCCGTTTCCAGTCAGAAAACGAAACTAATTCGAGCCAGCGTGGCGAGCGTCCTGGAGCGGAGGATACGGGCGAAGGGGTTGTGATCAAGAGAGGAGAGCAGACTTGTGAGGGAAGGGCAAGGAGTTGCGATAAAGAGAGGGGAGCATGCGGCGGGAGGGCGACCTTGAAAACCAAAACACACGGGAAGGAGGCAGGTTGGATAGCTTGCTTGAAAGGTCTGCAAAACTCGCACGTAGAAAAACTTGGAAAGAGTGCCTGCGCGCGCAGAAGTCAAAACATGGCCGCCTAGATCGGTGCGCGCAGCGGTGTTCGAAGAATCGGCGGCCGTGGTCAGAAAATCGTTTTGTTGCGCCGACGGGTTTGCGTGGCCTCACGAACTTCGATATTCCGCGATTCGTTCCGTGCAAATTAAGAGCAGTTTTCGTGATTCCGCAAGCGCGCGGAAGACATGCTGAGCCGAGTGCGAAGTGAGCGAGAACAACTCCTAAACACGAAACGAATCACAAATTATCAGAGTCGGTGGGGTAGCGTGCGCCCGTGCACTAGACGCAGACTATCGGATACAGACGGTGGCCGACGATGTTGGCAAATGGTCTGGTCACTCCAAGCCGGCGACAAGCAACAGTACCAGCGATCAAAAACAGGGTAGATGGCCGACCGGTCTTCGAAAGATCGGTGGCAGTGTGAAAACACGGGCCTCGTTTGGCGATGCGGGGTGCTCAGAGTAGCGGGGGGACAAAGGACGGAGGGGTGCGTAACAAAAAGCAGTCGGGGCATGGAGGAAGGAAACAACTTTCCTTCCTCTATGGGTTGGGGAGAGCCGCAACTAGAAGGTCATGGAGGCAGGGTTCGCGTTTAACAATAAGAAAGTATGGGCACCTCGCAGATGCCTGATCAGTGGTCGAAATTGGTTTCCCAGGAAGTCGCCAGACCGCTGACTCCGTTCGCTGTAACCAATCAGCGGCGCTCCGAGACGTTCGTTGTAAGTGCAATTTTGTGCCATTGAAACAATGTATATTTTCACGGTCACTCGGATATTGTTTGTTTTAAGCGAAAGTTCGTTTCAAGTGGGGCCGTTATATGTGGGCTCGACTGTATTTACAAAATATACAGGAAGAGTTAGAGGCAGCTGCAGGCAAGAGATGTATGAACAACAGCAACAACAACACCAGTGCAATCACATAGCACAGAAGACTTCTGCTAATGTGAGACTGGCTACTTTGATTCTTCAACAATAATTAAAATATACGAGCCTTTATTTTCTAGACACACCTTATGAAAATTCTACATGCGAGGCAGTTCAATAAAAACGAATAGATTCAACAATGTAGTAAGGGCAGCCTGGCCTGCATCAACACCTTCAGAAGATGATGAGCTTATGCAGTTACACAACCACATCGAGTTCAGCCAAACTATGACTGCATTTTCAAATGGAATGCTATTTTACTTGTTCAGCTTGCAGCAACAAGTGCTGTCGCATGTTCCCTGTATTCAAGAGAATAGCATAAATCACAGGTCGGACTAGCAAAGAAGTTAGTCAGGGAAAGGCCACCACCCCAGTTGGTATTGCTGATTAGCCATTCAATAAATGCAGAACATCAAACATGCTAAAGACCGTAAAGAGTATAACATACTCAATTCTCATAGCAAAAAAGTGACCCCCAACAGTGACTATGAAAAACACCAAGTACATAGAGGTTCATTCAGTGAAAATAAAAGTCTGCTTCCTTTATCTTTCTATTACAGCAAGATTAAGAGATATACATGCTTTCCTTATTTTCATTTTAGGTGCTACAACGCAATTTGCTTTTCAACTCAGAACTCAGAAAATGTGGGTGCATATACAATTCGGGGGTTTGTTACAATTCAGTTGAATACTACCAAATAATTAAGCAGTGGATTTTATAGATTTTCCAACTTCTAGCTAACTTTGACCGGCCAGACAATTCAACCTATCTCAACCACCCATTGAGGGTCACATTAATAGGAATAGAGTTCAGTACTAAACGGAACTTAGTCTAACCTTGCAATTCATCTCAATCTTTGAAACAAGAATGCCGTTTCAGTTTTATTTGCCTTCCTTGAAAGGTTTCCACCACACATAATGAGCAAAGGCACAAGACGGAGCAAGCTGCTTACCAAGACTGGTGTGAGGCAGGCCACCAGAAGGCAGTATCGGGCCCTCTCCTCAACCAGGGCACGGCGCACTGCTTGCTTTTCAGCCTCCTCTAAGAGCAGGCACCGGTCACTCATCTCTTGCAGAGCACACTCCAGGCTACGCTGCATCTCCCACTTTCCACTGCCTGCAGCATAGTACCATACCAACACTCAAAGTCATGCATCACCACCAACGTGCAGAGTGATACATGGGCACAGTAATGAACACATTTTGCATGGCCTAGAATAATACAAAGCAGGATGACAGGTGCAATAATCCATATGTCCAACATGCCCAGCACCTGTATCACATAGCAGAAACCATCTAGTGCTCTACAGTGCTCTCTTCATTCTTTGGTTTTTACTATTCTAGTTCTGAACACTGCATTGCACACCATAGAGTAAATGAGAAAAAAAAAAGAGGGTTAATTTCTCTAAGAAGAAGGTTGCAGTGCTCAAAGTATTTAAATATGGAGAAAATCGTAGGCACAATAGTTATGTATTATTTTAGTTCACTGTTATAACGGTGCTTTACCATTAGCCAATAGTTAGCAAAAATGGGACATGCAATGCTGTAGTTTATAACAGCTATAATTACCTTTCAAGATGAATTTATCTTGTAATTTATTTCTCATCTTTATTGTATTTTTATACAATGGTTCTTCTGTCATTCTCTTCATTCTTTGGTTTTTACTATTCTAGTTCTGAACACTGCATTGCATACCATAGAGTAAACGAGAAAAAAAAAAAAAAAAGAGGGTTAATTTCTCTAAGAAGAAGGTTGCAGTGCTCAAAGTATTTAAATATGGAGAGAATCGTAGGCACAATAGTTATGTATTATTTTAGTTCACTGTTATAACGGTGCTTTACCATTAGCCAATAGTTAGCAAAAATGGGACATGCAATGCTGTAGTTAATAACAGCTATAATTACCTTTCAAGATGAATTCATCTTGTAATTTATTTCTCATCTTTATTGTATTTTTATACAATGGTTCTTCTGTCATACTTTACTTCTATAGACTTTTTTTTGTAATTTAGTCCTTCAAAAGGTGTTTTAGGTGAAGCCAGAAAATGCTATAGAAACCCTGCATCGTTTCTTCTCAATCAAATGCTTCAAACCAAATGTTAAGTGCAAAGCATTTCTTTGCGCACTGCAGGCATTTTGAGCGTGCGTGTCTACCTATGTTTATTTGGCTGCCTACGTCTGGATGCTCTCATGATCAGCCTATTAACTTGGAATAAACCAAAATTAGTATGGGAGGGTAAGATGAATGACGAATATGACTCGGTGGTCAAGACATGAATAATGTCACAGCCTCGTTGTGTACCTCTTTAAACCTTTTACACCAGAGCTGTGGCACATACCCGCGGGCGGATATGTGGCACAGGTATGCGCCACAGGTAATTGACAGTTTCTATTTACTGAGGAACGGCGAGAACAGACATGGGAAAGTTTATGTGTCACGGTTAAGAAAAAGCTGCCATAGGCAGCGTTGACTCGACAAATGCAAAGAATGATTGTCAGGGTCCAAGCAGGACTGAAACCCCAGTATTCTGCATGACAATCAAGTATTCTATCACACAGCAATGCCATGTCTCGGAACTACTTATAAAATAGACCCTAGAGTTTGCGAAATGTCAATTGTGATTGGAGTGCTGGCTATCCAATTTTTTAAGCATTACATATGTACAGCCACAGCCATGTCTGTGCAGAGCAAACAAACAGCTGGTTTTCGCTCTGCGGGGTGAAACCTTGGGGCAGTATCAGGCTCTGGCGTGGTCAGCCTGACAACTAGGCCATGCATGCTCCCGATACACCATTTCAGAGCCCGAAACTGCCTCAAGGTTTTGGCCCGCAGAGAAAAAACCAGCTGCTCGTGCGCTTTACACAGACGTGGCCGCGGCTGTACTCTATGATACAGCCATCATGTCTAGTTAATATCATTTGTGGCCAAGCATAATTCGCTGAAGTTGATTTATGTAGCAATGTCCAGGGCTACTACCATCACCGCGAGCACCAGTGCTTCATATCAACTTACCGGTTCTGGTGTTGCTAATATCCGTTTTGCTGTTGGCATCATTACACAACCGTAAACAACTGGTTATATAAAACATGCGGCTGTTTAACATCTTTGTGTGCATTTGTACATATCTTTAAGGCCACTTCATCAAGTTTCACTCAATAAAAAAATTACAACAGTCACCTCCCCCCCCCCCCCCATCTGCATGCTTCCCATAACATACCATACTTACTCGCGTAATGAACTCACCCCCTACCTTGCTCCTTGAAAAAAGAAAAAAAAACTAAAATTTATTTTGGTATTATAGCCAATGCCGTTGACGATCGAAACAACGTTAAATCAAGCCATTATATCACAAATCACAAAATACCAACACAATAAAAGTCAAAACATAGTTCTGCAACCATGCTAAACAATTGTGAGCTGCACGATCCCGAACAACATCAAAATTTGAAAGTCGCGCTTTTTGCGGCGAAGCGCCATCTGTCGAATGCAGGAGAAACCTCTTTGCCGATAGCACCGTGCAAGCACAGCAGCACAAAAACAAAGCAAGAAACAAAGCATGTGGCCTCTGAAATGGCGGGCACGCAGCGTAGAAACATGCTACATGCCTGCTATCTCGGAGGCTATGCAAAGCGCAACCACAACTACCATGCTGACGGAGCATGTAGTGACACGTATCCTGAAGAAATACGGCCACTAGCGTGGGTCCGATCTTAGCAAGCCGCAAGGCAAGCGTTAACCGTCGCCATGGCGAGAACACGATACTGCTCAAGGTCGCAACACTTTATTATCTATGGCAACACCAAAACGCAGTACAGCCCGCTCCAAAGGCACAGCGGGAAAGCGAATGGGCTTATCCTCACCATGGGCGCAAGTACTACACGGTGCCACGGGCATGTCTCCGTGGTAAAAGTGATTCACGGAGACACCGGGACCAAGGCCCGGTTGCTCGAGTGAGGGCAAACGTGCTCGCTTTGGCTTCGGAGGGAGACGGGTCGGCGTAGCTTGGCCATGCACTAGGACACCGTACCGCCCTTCGGCCGAGCGTACGCAAAGGGGCAACAAATGGTGAGCGTACGCCTCAGGCGCGAGGCGCCGTCAGCAAAGTCCGATGAGCCCCGAACAACGGGAGTCGACGAACAAAAAAGGGAATGCGTGCTCACCGTAAGCTGTCCCGGAGAAACTCTGACTCACTCTCTGACGCGTGCACCCGAATCGTCCCAAGAGACCCCGCGCGCAGCGCCACAGTCGCCAACCGCTACCGGGTGAGAGGGGTTCAGCATCTTTCCTCGCTCTCCCAGCGCGGCAGACAGCGGAGGAGGGGAGGCATGTCGGGACATGAGTACGGCAGAAAAGGTGGCAAAGCCCGTGCAAAGGCAGCGGGCTAGCCTCAATTCCCACATGCGTCATGCACCCGCAACGTCTACCACAACGATTGTACGCCGCCATCCGACGCTGCGTTTTTGTTGTCGGGTTTGTTGTTGTGTACTTAGTTCGGACACCTGCTGTGCAGGGCGTATTTGACCGGTCTGCTAGCTGCACGGCTGTTTACAGACAGTATGCACTGGAGCATGGGAACCGAGCAGCTGGACGACACTTCAGCGTCGATCCGTGTGCTTTCGTTACGGGAGGAAACAAAGAACTTCGAACTACAAAAAAGATTTGTCGCGCATTTAACGGGCCAAAACAAGAAAAGCTGTCACGAAATTCCCGCTGTTATTATAACATCCGTGACTTTTTTCTCCCGCGCAACAAACCCTCCCCCCAAATTGATGTCAACTTTTCTAAAAAAAAAAGTGGGTTCTTTACGCAAGTAAAGTATGGTAGATTCTCAAGGTACATAGGATCTGCTGAATTTTTCCCCTTAGAACATGTCAGAAGCACACATCTATTTGTCACTACAGTGGTCAACCCAGAAGATATTTAAAGGGCTCTTCGCATGTAAAAAAAGAAATTGAGACAAAATGGTCACATCCCAAAACTACCATGTCCCCGAAAGCTGGACACATGCCACAACAGCTTCTCCTTGCTCTTTCTTTCAAGTCAAGCTAATCTTCCATAGCTTCATTAGAATTCATGACACATTTTACATTCACTCTTCCATTCCATCTTTCAACAAGATTACCACAATTTGTCAACCACTGTTGACAACTCTTGGCCAATGCACCAAATTGTGTATTGTTGTTACGTTTTAAACTACACTGATTTTTGCAACATGAGAAGAAAATCCCTAAAAAGCACTCTACGCCAAGAAGCTGAATTTCATTTCACTTGCTCCCCGAGTTACCAAAGTCATGTGAAATATGAAGCAAAAATCACAATTAGGGTGACGCACCAAACCTGAACCGAAACCAACACCTAAACTAGAATTATGGCTGGAACAGAACTAAATCTAAGTAACACACACACGCACGCACACACACATGTACAGAGAGAGAGAGAGAAAGCTCGGTGATGCAATCACTACTTGTACCAGTTTTGGTGTGATACGAAATTTTTTGTGGTCTTGGCCAAGGCCCATAAGCTTCCAATGTAATGAAGTATGGTTGTTAAGAACCGTTTTCCACCCTGCGACATTTGACGCAAGATTATGTTACCGCAGAGGTTCAAACAGGTGCTGCCCGTGCTGCTGCAGAAGGCACGTCGATCGTGCATACCTATATGGAAGCTCAAAAGCCGACATTCACACCGTGCAGCCAGTTTGTCAGAATTGGCCATCAGCAGCATGTCGAATCTTTCGAGATTGTGCACACAAATATTAATGACCCTAATGCACTTTGTATGTCTTCATGTTTTGATTACAGATGGTGTTTGCGTTGCCTTTTTTTTTTTGTTCTCCTGACGCGTTGACATTGTTGTACTGTGTTGACACTTGCCTGCAATGCCCTCGCAATCAGACGCCTCATGAAGGGTGGACGACAACATAAAGGCAAAGGGGACCGTCTTGAAAAAGGAGCTGGGCCTTTCATTGTCAACATGCACTCAATGTCACCATGCAACATGTCAACAGACTCAAATTTTCAAAAACCTCCCGATTGTGCAGGCACAACCATGAAGCTCAAAAAGCATCCTACAGCCACTGCAATAAGAAAATAACAACGAATACCAGCGGTTCTGAAATTTTCTGTCTCTTTTTTGTGAACAATGCACTTCTTAGGTCACTTTCACTGCAGTGCTTTGGTGTCATGCAGGAAAGCGTACTAAGCTTAGGCAGGGGCTACTAGCTGTTACAGGTCGCAATGTATCTGGTTCGGCGCACATGCCATATATTTACGAGTACAAGCATGGCCGTTACATCTAGAAACATTACTGGCAATCATTCAGAGCTGTTTATATATTGCTGCTACCCTCGTAAATGATAAGTCAACATGTGCACCAGCTTTCTTTTGATGCACATTGATATTTCACTCGTGCGTGTGTGTGTGCACGTGTGTGTGTGTTTATCAGTCATGAACAAAGCAGCTCAAATGATTCGGCATGACAACACTGTGTGCCACCATATGCTAGCTGCGATGTATCTCAGTATAACCAGTTATTCACTCGGTATCAGCTTTTTCTTCCCTTGCTTTTCATCTCCTTACTTTAGTCAATTTTTTTGCTGACAAACTAATTTTGTTTAGAACTTGGCTGGCTGAATGTCATGAGTAAAAGGACACAAGGCACGTTCCAGGTGCTGGAAGGTGGCGTCCGCGCACGAGACCCCCGATGGTGCACTTAAGCGCCACGTTCACGTACGAGATGGGACAATAAAGCTCGTGGCACGCGACCCGAGCCGTAATGAAAAATCCCGGAGGATGAGCGGTCACTGTGCATTGGGGCTTCGAACTGCAAAAATCAGGAAGGCCAGCCTCGCTACTGCGATGAAAGCAGTAGAGCCGCCCAATCATGAAGCTGTCGGCGAAAAGGCTCGGGGAGCGGCCGTCGATCTCGGAAGACTCGAGTGAAACTGGCCGGACTTGCCGCAACCTTTCACCGCAGTTCCTGGTGGGCCTACAGCTTTTCCGCTTCGAGCCAAAACAGACGCAGCCCGCACCACAGTCGGGACGCCATTGACTAGTTGGGCGGAGCCTAACTAGAGTGTACTGCAACAAGAGAGTGCCCGGACCGAGCTTCGAAAAGTGAAGTCCAAGCAGGGTATATCTGCTCGCGGTGCTGTGGTCGGTAGTCTGCAATGTAGTATGCAATGTCATCAGCGAAGCGCAGGTTACTAAGGTACTCTCCATAAACTCTTATTCTTAACTGTTCCCATTCTAGGCTTTTGAAAACCTCCTGTAAGCACGGGGTAAATAGCACATTGGGGAGATTGTGTCCCCCTGCTTTACACCCTTCTTGATTGGTATTCTGTTGCTTTCTTTATGAAGCACTATGGTAGCAGTTGATCCCCTGTAGATTTCTTCTAGGATGTTTATATATACTTCATCGACACCCTGATTACGCAGTGTTTTCATGACGGCTGATATTTCAACTGGATCAAACGCCTTCTCATAATCTATGAAGGCTATGTATAGTGGTTGGTTATATTCTGAGCATTTCTCTATTACCTGATTGATAGTATGAATGTGGTCAATTGTTGAGTAGCCTGTTCGAAATCCTGCTTGTTCCTTTGGTTGATTGAATTCTAATGTTTTCTTTAACTCTGTTAGCAATTACCTTTGTAAATAGTTTGTATACTACAGGGAGCAAGCTGATCGGCCTGTAATTCTTCAAGTCTTTATCATTTCCTTTCTAATGTATTAAGATAGAGGCAGTGGTACAGCCATCCTCGAAGTGAGAACAGGCTTCATACACTCTAAAAAAAGAGTGAGTAAAAAGGGTGTCTTTTTGTCACACAACAATAATCGTCATCTATATTGCGTTCCATCCTTACGCTATCGCCCCGCGCCCGGTACATTCCTGTCACGATCGACATGCCCATTATCAGGGTTACATTGCATTCTCGATAGGAAAGTGGCCAGCACCGAGTTTTCAAGAAAGGAAGCGCACGCAGGCCTGATGAAAATTATTGTTGTGGGACAAAAAGACACCCTTTTTACTCAATATTTTTTTAGAGTGTAGAAAGCGGTGTCATCGCAGCGTGAAGTGTATTCATCGTTGGCACATCGACCATCAAACCAAGGTCGAAGAGGATGGAATAAATCACCTCGATGTCAGCAATGATGGGCAATATGGCCTGCACTTCCGCAATGAAAGCTTAGTGGTTTTCTATCGACTGTGCGCCATGCACCTGTTTTTCGGGTCAGTGGATGTCTGAGCATTTCCCCTGGCATCGATGCCCATGGCGTGGCTGTGGACGGCTGGTTGTATGGCTGTAGCATGGGTGGTTGCTTCAGTGTCTGCTCTTGCGGCGGTAACCAAAGGGCCATTGGCGCCCGGAGGCACGGCGTCAAGAAGCGGGTGGTAGACATTGGAGAGCAGCAGCTTAGCTCATGAGACGCTGCTCAGCATCAGGACCAGCCGTAGACAATGCTTGGCATATTTCGTTGCGTACGACTTCAACGACCGATCCAATGGGAGTTAAAGCAACCGGAGTCTGGAACTTCTGCAGTTCTTCGCGAACTATCTCCCTAATCAAGTCTCGCAAGGAGCTCCGACTCTCAGACATCATGGCGATAGCATTCATTGGGTCATTGCTGGACATGCGGTCATACTGCCTGCAGCGTTGATGAAGGCCCGCTCAATAGCCATAGCCCTCTTAATTAAGTCAACCACGGTACTGGGAGAGCTGCGCAGTAGGCCGGCGAAAAGCTGTTCTACGACACCGTGCATGAGGTAACTCAACTTTTTATTTTCCGTCATGTGCGGGTTAGCTCGATGAAAGAGACGAGCCATGTCCTCGGCAAACATTGCAACGGTTTTGTTAGGTTTTTGAAAGAGCTCAAATAACTGCTGCGCACGGTCCCGTCGATCGACATTGGCGAAGGTATCGACGAACTGCTGTCGAAAGTCGGGCCAAGTTGACAGATTGACTTCTCTATTCTCATACCAAGTACGAGCACCGTCGTCAAGGTAGAAATAGGCGCGAGAAAGCTTTTCCTGTTCCGACCACTGATTTAGCTTGGCAACACGCTCGTAGTGGTCAAGCCAGTCCTCAACGTCTTCATGGGCGCTGCCACTAAAGCAATTGGGAACGGCTCCCAGCGGGAGTGTGGAGCATCAGGCAGGGTTGCGACCCTGCACCTCCACCAGTGTCGCGGTACAACGCGAACAAAACACAGGTACATCTTGAGACAGCGAAAGCAGCGGGTTCCCAACAGCTGAGCCGCAAGATTGTCTTCTTCGTTTTCGAGTAAAGCCAGAGGCCCAATACCTGGTGTCTTAAACCCCCCATCATCATTTTCGTCCACCATGTACACATGCGTCAATATCAGTAGTGGGCTGGTGTCACCAAAGATGACATTGAATTATATGTATATAGTGCTACTGAATAAAACCCTGTAAAATCCCTTTCAACCCATACGGAGACCCGTGGATGCACATAAGCATAAAAACTTTTTCTCTATTGAGCCATGAAAGCACACCAAGTCATGAAGCTTTAGGAATTCCAGAAATGGAACAAATCTGTGAATTATTCCGATATGGCACATACCTTTCTTGACCTTTTTCTGCAACCGCAAGGTATCGGTTGACATCTTCTTGATCTCCTGACGTGCCCTCTTGAATTCTGTGAAAGTGCATGTCATAGAAAACAGCAAGCTTGAAAGACTTATGTAGCTTAGTTAGGCATTTCGCATTATGAGCAAACTTGTAATGCAAATGCTATAATATGTTAAATTGCGGTGTGAATGTTATGTACCAAAGGTACTGTCTGGTTATGGGGCATAACGTGATGGGTGGCCTTTACCGAGTGGTTTTTACCTGAAAGAACCTTAGATTTATGAACAGGCCCTGAACACTACATGAGCATTTTTGTATTCTCCCATTAGTAAGAGACTTTAACAGAAAAACGAGCCTACGGAAGCAGAACAAGGACACTGAGAATGCACAGTTGGAAATTCAACAGCACAGTCTAAGTAAGCACCAAGTTGACTGCATTCCCATTCAAGGTCAGTGGTGGGGCTATAGAGAGAAATAGGAAGGAGAGACCCCTCAAAATTCCCTTCTGCTTTACATTAGGAATATGCACAGGCCCAGGTATCAGTACCTTAGAAATATTTTATTCAGGTCCAGGCCAGGCTCAGGAGAGCAGGCATGATTTGTTGTGTAGGTCGATCATGCACTGGAGCCCAACTTGGTTACAATATTCTTGCCGACAGTATATGTACTTCTACAAGAAAGGGAACCCAAAGGACCATGTCAACAGGCTTTTATTAAAGTAACCCTCACCAGGTTTAAGCACTGCAAAGAAACAAGCATAACTTGTAGATCGGTTAATGGCGATTGTGTTTGCAAAATACAACATGCCTGTGCAGCAAAAAAATGGTCAGAATTTACAACAGAAGGCCGCATGCTGCGCGTTGACAGCCGTGACTTCAAGGGTGTTGGCGGCGGAAGCAGGGTTCCCCCAGCGGGGAGCATTGTTCACTGCCGGTGCAATTCATACTGGTTCTAGAGACCATAGCACTGATTTGTACTGTTTAAGCAAAGCGTGTTGAGAGACCTAGGCGATGGCGGGCAATGTCAGCAGGGAGCATGTTTGACACGTCAGTGTCTGGCAAGTTAACAGCTCTTTTAGTACACATTGCAGCCACTTGATGCAGTAGTTTGTGAAAAATTTAATAAATTCATTATATTCCATACGTTCTTCTAAAAGCAAGGTTTTGTCAAGCACTTAAACCTTAAACTGGGCTACAAAATTTTGAGAGCGAAATTTATAATCAGTATCCCTCTAAGAAACAACAAAGGCTTGAAAGGGGAAAAAGATGTGTACATGCTAATAAATGATATATATATAAACACCTTTGGAGTGGTCCTTGTCTAGTTGTAGAGTGCTTTTCTTCCAGTCCTCTAGCTTGTCTTGTAATGGAATAACTAGCTGCTCCATAATTGACCTGGGAACAGCACACACATCATAATGTGCAAGTTAAAGAAGAACATTTTACAGAAAGTAAAATACAACTACGAAGTTAGATCTATAATACCACAACGTAACGCTGCAGATACAAAAAAAAAAAAAAACATCACCAGCTAGAGAACTGAAACTGCAAAGTTAGATCTATAATACCACAACATAATGCTGCAGATACAGCAAAAACATCACCAGCTATAGAACTGAGAATTTCAAAAGGGCATTATTTCAACAAAACAACGGTCACAAAGAGGGCAGTGTCCACAATTAACTAGATAAAATTTTAGCCCCTGTCAAACACCATGCCCATGGGCCCTTTTTTACGCATGAGGCTCCCTTTAACAACAGTTTGCAGGTTTTGGACCTAAGGCTCATATTATCTGCGCAGTAGATATACTAGTCTTAATGCCCACATTCATGCAGGAAGCTTTAACCCTTCAATATGACCCATTCCAAGCTTCTCAAGTGGGTTACTACTTCCATGCATTTTTAGTGAAGCACCGGTGAAATCTTGTCCTTGCAAGATGCTGAATAGTTCTTTTAATCAGTTTGCACAGCAGAATTTAGCTGGCTATAGTAACTCTGCCATTGCATCTGCTTCTGAAGGCCTTCTTAACAAAAAGTGAAGGGAAAAAGCTAAAGCATGTGGCTGGTGGTCAAAATACTAATGTTGATGCTTTACACGCCCAAGGTTTCTCACAACCTTAATGAAGCCAAGGCCGCACTCACATAGAGGTGTGCTAGGTCGATCTGGCCACTCAGTTGGTGTCGTTGCTAAAATTTTGCTCAGCTGCGGTCAAGTTTGCACTGATGAAACAAGACTCGCTAAACAGCAGAGTTAGGGAACACAAATTTTCGATAAAGAAACTAACTTTCAGCACATTTGATTGTTTATTGAGATTCCTGTTTGCAAGTTTTCGAGCGCTTTCATTCTTAGTAAAAATACAGGTGCCCTGGCACATTAGGTTATGGAAACTTACATTTTAAAAAAATGACGTGTATCAGAGACATATGTGGTTTCGCATAACAACGAATATGAACATTTTCAATGCTAACTAGATAAAAAATATTCTGAGATTTTACCTCATCTGGTATTATTTCATGTGTGTTTGAAGCAATTCGGATTATGTTTGTTAGTTGTGAGTAATGCCCTTTTCCACCTTAAGTTTTTTTTTTTCTATATTTGTTATCCATCCTGTTCAATTCAGTTAGAATGTGCCAACTAGCCTAACAACTAGTTTTACTAACTTGGATGACTACAGATTCAGTGGTAGATACAGCCACGCATGTTGTACCATATAAATGTCAGTGGAGTAAGGTCGCAGCTGAAATGCTGAAGTTAGTAGCTACGTAACTTAAAGTAATGTAGCAACACTATCTTCCTATTTAGATGAGCCCCTTGAGCTTTGCTTCCCTACTGACAAGTGAAATAAAAGCTCATTAAACATGGGTAAAGACCTCAGAAGAAAAAACCTTTAGGAAGTGCAACTCCGCTGCTTGAGTCGACCAGATAACATCACATCGCCGGAGGGCCAAATCATGCTGGCGAGGTCTTGTGGTACTAAAGAGAATTGCCACCATTTCAGTTTCCAAGCGAACCAGTTGCACGCATTGCTCGTGTTCCACCACAGTCACGGAGCTGAAACATGGAGCGCGTTCAAATGCGCTCGGCCGGTAGCATTACTTTTTTTTTTCTTCATGGTTGTAGGTTTGCTTCACGAGGCGCTGCCAACTGAAATGTCTCCATTGGAGCATGTTATTTTTGTACTTTATGTGACGTTATCTGGACACCTGCGGACGCCAATTTTAACGGGAGTTTCACCTCCTAAATATTTCTTCCTTCGTGGTAAAGACAAACAAAGTGTAGCTTTTGCAAAGCCGCAAAAATCTCCTAACAGAGTCGGTTTTATTGCCCGAAACCAAGAGAGCTAACATGAGACAACCTGTATAGAGAACTTGAGAGGAGTTCTGGCATCAGCTTATCCAACATGCAACCAAGCCCAGCACATAAAACCTTTTGGTATTTGCCCACATCAGAAAGCAGCAATCATAACCAAGAATAGAGCTTGTGATCGTATGCACAGCAAGCAAAGGTCACTTGGCCACTCTGACACAACAAATTCTCCACACTGTGCAGGAATTCTCATATAAATATCAGCATCAAACAAGCATGTCTAAAGCGATAATTGTAACTAGAAGCTGCTTTCCTTTTGTATGAACCAACATTACATCCATCTAATCATTCAGGGCAAAGCACAGAAAGCCATGGGTCTGTCTATGCATGTCTTTTGTGACCGGTTTGTAACAACCTTGTTGTACGACTCACTCAGCAGGTGGCGCTAGTGTGAGTGACTAACAGACGGATGCACGCACGGACGGATGCACGGATGGACGCATGGGCAGATGGACCTCATTGCTAAAGACTGCATAGTGGAGCACATGCTTTCCAAGTATGCACTCAGATGTATCCATATGCAACCTACCACGGTCCGAGGGACATGCATAAACTTAGTGTTTGCAAAATTCTCACTGCAGCCAGTACAAGAACCTATCTTGCTTCATTTCACGGATCATAAAGCCGTAGAATGAAGGGACCTCGCAATACAGCCACCTTGACAATGAAGAAATCAAAATAATAAGCAAAGACACAAAAGAATAAATGAACAAGAAGACAATAAAAGTTGATATGTATAGTATACACACAGTCTTACATCTTTCTAATGATGTAATGGGCTAACTTTTCACGGGAGAGTTACTGTTTACCGATGATCTCCACCTCTCGAGCTTCGCCCACTTATCATTGATACCATACATAAGTCGCGATTCTTTTTTGTTTTGTACTGTTTTTATAAAATATAGAATGCCAATACACTAAACATTTGGTTCTCTTAAACCACATGTAAAGAGAAAATTATTCTACTTTATTTATGGTTGCAAATAATCTTACGTAGCATGTTCAAATTCGTATGGCCTCCACAGGACAGATGGTTACCTCATGAATACAAAAAAAAGGGGGTAAAAGAAAGATGACAACCGGAGTGCGCATAATTCCTACTCATCCTCACAGTAAAAAATTATCATGATTTCCAACTTCAAACAACCATATTTAAAATATTTCCTGTTAAAGTGATTTGACTCCACAATTTTACAACAGCGCATCAAACCACACTGCCCATGAATGCCACCATGATATTTAACTAGAGATGCAAGACTGCTAGCTAACGAGGACTGAAATCAAGTATAAGGCACCTGGAAGGCACAACTAGCATCCCAGTGTTCTGCAAGCTCTTGTTTATCCTAAAAAAAGGTAACTTATTAGTGAGCATAACTAAATGACATATTCGATGTCGTCCCCTGGCTCTTCCCTCAAATTTGAACAAAAAAAAACTTCAGTAATATAGTGCTCAATGTACTGATTGCACATTACAAAATTTTGCAGAGTCTTTGAATAATAAATGATCTAATTTATGCTTTAGTACCTAATAAAAAATGATATTTTCCATACAGCATTTGGCAACACACATCACAATAATAATTGTTGGGGTTTAAAGCCCATAAAACACATTATGACTATGAGGGACACCACAATGGAACGCTCCAGAAATCGCTAACACCACCTGGGTTTCTCTAATGTGCACCTAAATCTACCGTAAAATTTCGAGCAAGCCCCCCCCCCCCCCCATGTCTAATTTAATACAATCCAATTCTGTTTTGCACTGTGACTCCACACCATTTGTTGCTTTGTGTGTGCGGTGGGAGGTCATCTATGCCAATGCAGTCCTACAGAGTGGCAAAGAAAATCGGGGTTATTCGATGGTATCAAGAAAATGGAAAGAACGTGTACCAGACATCTCGACATTTCAGGCTCGACTGGAACCAGACACAGGAATAGGAGAAGAATTTCGATAATTTGCTGCAGCTAAACTACATTAAGGCAAAACTTTGATGGAAGCTTAGTAACAGCACAGCAGTGTTAAGCGAACACGTGGATGATGCGCTCTCCGAGTACCTTGAGCAGAAGTGCAGAAGTTTTTCACGGTCCCCGTGAACTTCCTATTAACGAGAGTCAACTGTACATAAATTGCTGGAAACAGCGGTTCGGCGTTGCAATGCGCCATGCTACGAATAAGAGCCAGAAGAGGTCCGAGGAACTTTCGGAGGCACTAAGTGCCTTTCAGTGTTCGGCGAACTCGCTATAATAAATTTTAATCCACGTGCACTGCTTTTTTTTTGTGCGAAAATTTTGCTGCCATCTTGAATTTTAGTTCTATTTCAAAATAGCATCCCCCCCCCCCCTTTGCGTGCAATTTCGATTTTGTCTGGGGGGGGGGGGGCACTTAATTGGAATTATATGGTAAGTACATGTGTTTCAAATATTCACACCTCTTCTGAACCGGCCGTGGCAGCCGCAATTCAACCCACAACCTTCCTTGCTGATGAAAACAAAGACCTTGCATTTTAGAGAAACGAAACACATATATGCAACATGTACTGAACAACTTACATGGTAAATGAACGCAGCTTTGCTTCAACACTGCGGTGACGGAGACAGAGGCGAGTCAGTGCTTTGCCAACTTCTTTTGTGGCACCTGGAAAGTTTTACACACAAGAATAACTACTCCTCGAATCTTGCACTAAATGCTTTATCAAGTATTAAATCTACTAGTGATAACGCCCCTGTGCAGATGCATCAGTGAATGTCCTTTTCCTACTCTGTAATAAAAAAAAATAACAGCATCAAGAATAAACACAGCAGCCTTTTAGAAGAGTTGTTTCAGCCAGAATGCAATCAGACTGTTAAAGTAATACTAAAAAAGCAACACTAAACTATGTTGAATTCCAAGAGTATCGCGAGTGCTCAGCCTGATTGCAAACGGAGTGTGTAGCTCCAAGCAAGATCGTTTTTGCCTAATCTGCATGCATTTCGACAAAAGCAGTTGATGCACAGAAATCTAGCAAGGGGGAGCCAGGCTACAGGATATACACATAATCCCAGCTTTCTGTGCATTTTATTTCTGCAGACTGCAGCCACACCGCTGTGGAAGCTAGACGGCCACGTTGGTGAAGTGGCACATCTTACAACGAGTTGCTATGCAAAGTCCTTTCCTCGCAAACACCAATGCAGATACATATATGGTAAATCATCACCATAGAGCATCGAATGCATTATTCAAAGTTTGCAGGTGCAGTTCCTCATGGCGTGAAGTTACCTTTTCGTCCAATTTGATTTCTGCACATTTATGACAATTGCTAGACATGGCAGGCTTTACACTTTCCTTGTAGAGTTACTGTATATGCTACCTTTAGTAGCAGATTTGCGCCACTGTTTTCCGGGCGCCGCTCACTGGGCCTTCGACGATTTCAGCAATGCTATTGAGCAAGCGTCGTCACTTGATCATAGGTGATTCATTTGCACTGTGGAGAAGCCAACACTACGCAGATGACGCCAAAAACGCAGATGCTCCGCATATTCCGGGCAGCTCATGTATGGTTGAAATCAGCTGTTGTTATTCTCGCTGCATGGCGGAAATGTGGTAGCAAGTGCATTCTGTGTTTAATTGTACGTATTCAGTACAGAAACCTGAGATTAGACAAGGTTGCAGCGGGTTTTCCTATAAAAAAGACTAGTGTTCCGTGAGAAAGGAATGAACCCTTGGCTTCTTTTTATTTATACACGATACTGCAAAACTTGCCCAATTGGTATTACCCACAGATGCAGTGAATATGTTATACATGCCGAGTTGGTCAGCGTGTGTCGGCTGCATACGTCCAAATGTCTGGTGAGTAAAATGCTAAAAATAAAGGAGAAGTCAATCTAGAATTATTCAAATCAGCAAGGTGTTGTAGCTAGTGCGTGAATTTAATGCATCTTTCAAACCTTGAGCGAAAGGAATGTAAGGCGCGACAGGGCTGTTGAACAATGATTCACATCAGCTGTCATGAGCTGCGATTGTAATATGAGCATAATACCAGAGCATTGTGTGATACGGGCATCACACGGTCACTTTTGATTGCTATCCAGCTCGATTCAGTTAAAACTATAATACTACAGCCGAATGAGCCCAGCGTGACGAAAAAGTTCCACTCCTAACTGGCTCAATCCTGATCAAAAATACAAAAATAACTTCATATCTGTAAATGGGAAAAACTGCGAAAAAGCAGACGAATAAACCTCATATAAACCTAAAGAAAAGCTAATGCGTGACCAAATATAAATATATATTTCACTGGCTCAACAAGCCGAAGCACTTTGTTTCATCATTACATACCAAAAACTTAAGCATGAAATCAAGGCTTGTAAAAGTGCCCAAAGCTAGCAACTGAGTTTTGCTCGTACCTTCATAAAAAATAGAAAAAAAAATCTAAGCTAGTACGCACACTAAAGCACAAGCACTGCTCCTACGCGGGTGGTGAGTGGCTTTCCCACCACACGTTTGAACCTAATTGATTGATATGTGGGGTTTAACGTCCCAAAACCACTATATGATTACGAGAGATGCCGTAGTGGAGGGCTCCGGAAATTTCGACCACCTGGGGTTCTTTAACGTGCGCCCAAATCTAAGCACACGGGCCTACAACATTTCCGTCTCCATCGGAAATGCAGCCGCCGCCGCACCCGTGATTTGATCCCGCGACCTACGGACAACACCGTTGAACCTAAGATGGCGGATTTTGGCGCAACTCTGCTATTAAAACGTAGCATATACAGTAACTCAAATTGCTTGGCTTTACTGTCTCTTAGTTGTCATCGATAGGCATATGCACTCCGTGGCAATGTTTCAATAACTACTGCCACATTTAGACAAAAATCCTTTCAACAATTGCTAATAGTTTTTGCAGTGCCGGTGAGGGTATCTGCTTTTATGTCACTTCTGGCTGCAACATCAAGTGCGAAAAAGAAAGGAACAATGCGATAGCCTATAATATTGCTTCTATTCAAACAATTCATATGGCTACTTTAACCCTTTACTGCTGAGTGTTGCAAATTCGCGACATACTGAAAAAAAAAAAAGAGGAAGCAAGTCACGAAATACACGCAGCCTTTAATGCCGGCTGTCAAGTACTCATAGAGAATGTAGCTTTCAGCACGGAAAACTTAAAGCTGTCTTGTCCAAGGTATTTTATGCCAGAACCAACTGTTTTGTAGCTGATGACGGAGAGTGCGAAGCATGTGCAACAACTCTCACTTCTTCGGCCTTTTACACCTGAATGACTTAAATTTTATCTTCAATAATTTCGTTTATGTGGTGTGTACACATCCAAAAGGTGGCACATGACATGTTACGTAGTTGTGAAGTATGTTTTCATTGCGAGGTTCTGGCTTCTGTTGCCTATGAAGAATTCATGACATACATAAAAGTATGCATTAAAGTTGCATATTAGATAATTGAACTGTGGAATTATTTTTGGTTGCTTTTTAAAGCTGGAAAAATGAAAACATTTTAATTTGTTTGGCAGCTTCATAATTCAGGCTTGAAAGGGTTAAACTGTTTTCATGCATGTGTGGGTGCATGTGATTTTGCTGTGTATTTATTGAAAACATCAAATATGCATGTGAAATCAGGTTATGGCTACACTAATGGAAGAGATGAAGCAGCAACGAGAGAAACACAGGAAATTACATGGAGAGACGCTGGGACAGACTTTAAGGCCTATGTCACTTTTTGTGTTTGCCTCGTTGGTACTTTATTTCTTCTGTTGAGAAGCACCAACTAGCCAAACAAAAAGTTATGGCTATTTACTATATGCTTATACTTTGCTTGTGAGTTATTTACATCAGCAGACATCACAAACTAAAATGAAAATTGCCCCCCCCCCCCTCATTGACAGCTTTCTGTGTGATGTTTCCTAGTAACAATATTTGTCTTGCTATTGCAAATGCATAATTTACTAATCGGCATGTGAACTTAATAGCTTGGTTCAGTGTCCCTTTAGTTATGGCAAGTTTACCAGCAAACACTAATGCTACTTCACATTATAATCAGTCTACCATAAGACATGTTCTAGAGTTATACACATATTAGAGCACATCAGATCCGACATGGTTCTTTTTTTGTTTACTCACTTTGCAAAAACAAAGAGAACACAAAAAAATAACCCCCTGGGTCTAACTAACTATTGCACTCCCTGGCAATGCCAATTTAATGCCACTAAAATCATTGAATACACCAGAATCAAACAAAGTAGTCTGGCCCATCAGCCCAACAGTTTGTTTACTTTTTTTTTCTCTATCGATGTCAAAATTATTACTGCTGTGAAGAAATACAGGTGATGCGGGTATACATAGATCTGAAGTGCTAATCTGTGAACCATAAATGCTCTTATGATGTGCCAGTAATAGGACCTAATTTCACTGCATATTGTGCTTTGTAGCTATCCTAAGAAACATGCTAGTAGTTGCACATCAACTGTATTGGCACATGAGTGTGGTATGCTTCCCAAGTTTCAAGCCAATGAAAGTAAAGCAATTTGCTTCCCACGGTTCTAAGTTTACTAAAGGGACCCTGCAATACTTTTGCAAGTAATTTTCGAATAGTTTCGTTAAAAGAGTTTATTGCTTCCCGAATCAATGTGCTACAAAATTTTTTAGAATCCATCAAGTCCGAGCGGAGTTAAAATTACCTGTAGCGCACAATAAGCCCTTTCTCTCTTCCCTCTTCTAGACGACTACGCTAGAAGCTAAGTAGAGAGAGATGGCGTGAGAGAAAAGAGTCATGTCACGTGCACATTATGGCTTTAAAGGAGCACCGACAAAATTTTCAAGGTGAGCTAATGAGTGAGATAGATTCATGTGGAGAAATACACATCTACAAAATATGAACGGCAAATATAGCCTAGAACATACTTAAAATCAATTTTGAAGTACATGTCGTGAAACCGAGCAAGATGCGGAGCCCCTCATGACGCTGATATTGTGGCGGAAATGCAAACAAATCTACGTCACGAGTTTGTATTGGCTGTTTGCTTGCGCCACACCTGCGATTTCTTGCTCCATGCATGCGGTGTTGCATGTGCTGGCCGACATGGCTGCATGTGCTGGCTGACCTGGCTGTTAGTGTGGCGCCACTTCACAGTTTTGCATGGTCACATGGCCAGCTGTGTTTACCGTGCCGCCAGTACTGCTCCTGCCTAGCTCGGTGCTTTTTGAAACCAAAACTGTGACTGTTCGCTTTAAAAACGTCTCTAAATCAATAACCACCGTGCACTCACACAAACAAGGTTTCGAGCCATGATAAGTAGGTCATAAGATACCTAATGCCACAACTAAAAAAAGAGGGAACAAAGTGCAAAACTTTTATGTCAGTACTCCTTTAAAATAATTTTTTTTAACTGCATGGCATGCTTTCAGTGGGATCGTGAGCAAACTCATGGGCACGTCACAATGACTTGCAGTAGCTGCAGTAACTACTCAGCTCGTGATGAGTAGTTACCGTGATGAATAGTTAATCAGTCAATGGTGATAAACTTTGGATTTACGGCATCATTTGTCGAAAGAAGAGCAAGCGATTTTTGGCTGACTTTAAGAATTAATTGTAAATTCCAGGTTGCATGCTGTGTTATGTTTGTCTCACATGCTCTCAGGAGCCTC